TATGTTCCACCATAATCAGCTGTGATGTTCTTCAGCAACAAACACTAATGCTAATGTGATAATAATGCTAATAATGCTAAAATGCATCAATTGTTACCGAGAAAATCCTGCACACAAGCGTTGTATTTGTTGTCCTCTTAGTTTGCGCCCAATTTTTCATAAAAATGTGAATCTTAAAGCCAGTTTGTGTTTTTTCTGAAGTAAATTCCCTGATGTTTGGTGAGYGTTGAGTTTTGAACTCTGATGAAATCGTGTGTCTCCCGTTTGCAACTTTCTCTTTGCATCCTCAAATGTGAGACTTGGATTTGCACTTTTCAGGTAAACTTAAAAACAGATACTTCGAAAGAAAGCTGTGACTCGTTTGTTATTGACTTTGAGACATGGAGGTGGATCGTTTTCAGGTTGAACATGTGCGTTTGACATGCGTGAAGGTATCTGTGAGTGTGTGGATGCTGGAGGTTGGAAACGGTTGAATAGGTGGGGGTCGGGGATATGAAATGCTCTAAGATTAGCCTCCCCTCTGACTCGGCCTGCAGATACCAGCCGTGGCTGCCATTCTTCTCGCAYCGTGACAGATGATCTGTTCAGCAGAAAACACACCCACCAGAGACAGAACGCACTCTTCATTCTGCAGATTTACTCCTGCTGAACACGTCCATCTAACTGAAGCGTTAGCATTCCTTGAAGAAACGTATATCGCCCACCTTGCACGCTTCAACTCTCTTACTTTGAAAAATATTGACGTTGTATCCGTTTTGGTCACATGATCTGCAAGCGCTTTGATTATATGTCATGAATGACTCTCAGCTACTACCGCTTCAGATGTTAGCCAAGTATCTGTAAAATTAGCTGAGTCATAGCCATTTTTGTGTGGGGTAAGGRCAGTTAGCTGGCAGCCATTTTAAAATGTGTTGACTCCAAAAGTGAATCTGCTGTCCAATCATTGTATCTTAAAAGTTTATTTAAAATACAGCCAGGGGTTCATGAGATATTTTGCGAACAAATATTTCTCACATAATCAGATAGCACAGGTTGTGTATCACTCTCAGTTACTACCACACCAAATTTTAGCTAAGTGTCTGTAAAATTGACATAAGTGTACATATAGTCATCTATATTCAGTTTTATGTGAGTGAAATCTCACAGATTTTTCTGGATTATCCCTTTGAGTCTTTAAACATYTGAGAATTGCTGCTGACTGCAGTGAAATCCCAGAGAAAAGCAGGAAGCGACCAAAGGAAATGTGTACATGACCTCATGTGTGCGTGGGTGTGTGTTTGGTCGACACTCATGCATACTTTATATATGTGAGCCTGTGTTTGGTGTTAGTGTGAGAAAACACACACACACACACACACACACACACACGAGTGTGTCTGTGGAATTCATCGAGCCGAACAGATCTGTAAGGTGATCCCAAACTCCCAGTCAGGTGCAGAGCTGAGGCATAAAGGGGAAATTTGTGAGCATGAGCGGGAATGCGGGTGGGAAAGCACAGGATCTAAATCCACTGTCGACAGCTGCTGTGTGTGTGTGTGTGTGTGTGTGTGTGTGTGTGTGTGTGTGTGTG